TTGACATTTAAACTTTTAAATTCACAAAGCGTTTAGATCAACTTGGGCAAAAAAATGCCAATCTGATTTCATCTAGTTAAGTGGGAATTTAAAAAAGACCAGACCAGATACAGTATGGTAAATGGTGTTATGTAGCACTTTTCTTTGTAATGAAGCACACTCAAAGTGGTTTACACTATTTTCCGTTCACACACACACTGATGACACAGCCACCAGGAGCAGCTTGGGGTTTAGTGTCTTGCCAAACGACACTTCTACATGTGGACTGGAGAAGCTGGGATTCAGACCACCAACCCTCCGGTTGGGAGACAACCCACTCTACCTCCTGAGCCATAGATGCCCCAGAAGGCTGGATTTAACCAGCTTTTAATTGAATGATGACAACTTGAAAAGCAGACAGCCTTTGCTCTAATAATAAAATGTGCTAATTAAACATCACTGTACTGAATAACACCAAATGTAATAGTAGATATGAGGTGCAACATTTCACTGATTTAGTTTGATCAGCCAGGCTTATGTGTGAGATGTTACTGCTTAAAGTTGACTGAGTGGAAATGACTGCTCCCAGATGCTCCCTTTCTTCTGTTAAAGGGAGTTTTTCCTCCCCCGCTGTCAAGTGCTTGCTCAAGGGGGATTTGTTGTGTTTTCCTCTATAATAGTGATAGACCTGACTTTGTAAAGTCCTGAGATTACTTTTGTTGTGATTTGGCGCTATACAAATCTGAATTGAATTAAATTAATTGAGACTTAAATAACTAACTTTGTATCAGGACAGCCTCATCTAACGGGTCAATGTGGATTTTGCCTCTATTGTACCTATAGTAAAAATTAACTATCTACTCAATTACTGTATAGCATTGTAACTATTTAAACATGTTTTGAGGCTGATGAAGCTGAACTAGTTCTCTTACTGAAACAGCAGTTGACCTCAGCCATAGTAAAGGAGGTATCACTGTCCTGGCAGGTGGTTCTCTGAGTCTCTCTTCTGACTTCCACCTGCAGACCAACGACAAATTGAGAGAATCAATCGGGAACTAAAAGTCGGCCTGTACTGCCTGTGTTCCAAGAGTCCATCATGGTCCCACAATCTGGTCTGGATTGAATATGCCCACAATTCCCTGGTCTCCTCTGTCACCAACCTGTCCCTCTTTGAAGCATCTTATGGTTACCAGCCCCCATTCTTTTCTTCACAAGAAAAAGGGGCCCAAGTCCCAGCTACCTATGCCATGGTCAGACACTGTGCCGGAATGTCGTGGAATGTCTGGGCATCTCTCCCGAAGATCTCCCAAAACTAGAACCAGGTGGGCCCACTGCCACTGGTCCACTGCACCACATTACGTGAAGGGACAGAGTGTGGCTGGTGGCTTCTGACCTTCCCTTGGGGTGCATCTACTTTTCACATGTCCCAAGTCAGGCCTGTGTTTCAGAGTGCTCTGATGCCTCCTCTCTGGGCTGCCTCTGCCCGCTCGGTTTGTCGACAGGAGCCCAGCTTACCTGGTTCGCTGCCCCCTCCATTCCCATCAACATGGGAGGGATTTTCAGTATTTAGTAGACTGGGCGGATTATGATCCTTAAGAGTTCTCTTGGGTTCCTGCCTAGTATATTCTGGACCCTGCCCTCATCTCTGAGTTTCATTGGACCCACCCGGATCGGTCTGGTGGGTCGGTGTTGGCGTCCCCATCAGGAGGGTTTATGTTTTCTCCTAGTCATCTCCTCAGTGATTCAGGTACTACATCATCCTGATTGCCATCACCTGTGCTTCATTATGCCCCTGCCTATTTAACCAGAGCTCTTTTCAGTCTTTTGCCAATTGTGTTGCCCTGTGCAGATCCTTGAGCATCTCCAGCCAGCGTCTGGGCTGTAACTTCAAGTTTTTCATCTTGGTGCATTTTGCACACTGCCTGTGTCTTATCTTTTTCACTGAGCTCAGTCAATTTTGGTAGCCTGTGCACGACTCTTGTTTTGCTCTACTGTTTTCCCTTGGCCAGCTGGGGAAGTATTACTGTACCAGCAGGTGGTTCTATGGGCCCTGCCTGTTTAATTTATCTGGTGTCTTCCCTGTACGTGTGTGTGTGTGTGTGTGTGTGTGTTGTTGCAACTATGGTGTCCTGCAGTTCACTGTTCTCATCTCTGTCACCTACCTGCCCAACGACACGGTTCATCACCGCCGAGCCCACTGTTCACTTACCTGCCACTGCTTTGGTGTCACTGTGCTTCTGGTCTCGGGTTTCCATCATTCATTTGCAGAAATAAGACAAATCACCTGTTTGAGTTCAGTAAGCCTTTATGCCAAATCCCAGTCTCCCTGTTTTCTAGGGTACTATTTCATCACCTCTCTGTTCACTGTAAGGAAGACCAAGCAGACAGTACACTGGTTCCCCTTGCTGGTACCGCAGAGCCAGTCCTCCAAACACATTCCTTTTAATACACTTAACCCATGTTACCTTGAGCAATTAAGTCAACCTTTACGCTTATGCTATTGAGTCCAGGCTTAAACCCAAGCCTGACAAACTAGGCTGCATCATTGACTGTGAATGTGTTAGTATTGATAGGATTTATAGTATTTATCATTCCATGATAACTCATTATTGATTTTATGCTTTGTTGTATCTGATTAACCTTGTGCTCTTACACATGATTTTAACCATAAAGTCCTTTCTTATCTTGACGTTTGCAGGTTAGCATAATTAGACTAGGTTGCAGTGGGAATCAGAAGAAATTTCAGCTTTTCAGTGAGAAAATGCAGGAGTGTACAGAAGAAAGACAATGAGAGAAATGAAGAAGAAGAAGAGTAGGTAGGGGAGACAGAAGGACAAACCACTGAGGGAAGAGATCAAGAAATGATTGTGAGGGATGAAGATAAGACTGAAACAGAAGCAGAAAGAGGGACAGGACCAGGGAGCGATGAAGACAGCTCCAGCTGGACCTCAAGGTTAAATATTAATTATTATTGTAATAATAAAGTTAAATATACTGTTATCCAGTAATCCAACCAATTATGTAAAAAATGACAAAAGAAGACTAGGGATTTGTGAAAGTGTTTTTAAGTCTGGTAAAAACAAAATGAGTCGTTGCTTTTAACACTGTTAACTTACCAAGATGGAATGAGTCCAGCTGGGATTCTTCACCTTACAGTGACAGAGGTGGGGGGACCAGATGGGTTGAGCACAGCTTTCACAATGCCCAGGCTTTGCAACTCTTTGTATCTTATTTCCAGAGCGGAAAGTTCCCTGGGGATGGTCAGTGAAGCGACTCATTCACCTCTGAAGCTGTGGGAGAGGTCCGGGCTGTAGATTTGATGTTTAGTGTACAATAAGCAGTGATTGTGGGTTTTGCTTTGTTATCTGAAACCAGCTTTTGCCATGAAACAAACTCCTTCATTACACTGTCATTAACATTGGTGTTATAAATCTAGTTGTGACATAATTATAACTAAAATGTAATTGCTAATGGTTTTCCTAAATTTTCTATTTTTGTAATTTTAATAAATATTGAAAATGCAAACTGATATTTTTATGCGACTGAGATTCATCTCCACTGTCAGGCTGGGTCATAGGGAACTGGGGGTAGATTAGCATAGCTCTTTCATGATTCTGTGGGTGGTGATGCATGGCCATTCTTAGTTGGTGGCGACACTGGTCTGGTTAATTCTGATAATAAGCAAGACTTCAGCATGTGTATGATACATTGCTTTCACTTTGATGCTCACTAGGCATATGTAAGTTTAGAAGTTATGACAGTTGTTATTTGTAACTTAGTTACTTTCAAATCATAAAAACAGAGCAAGGTATAACTGAGAGGTGGATATGTTTGTGGAAACTGTTGATGAGAATCATTACTGGCTATATTTAGTGTGCATCTGGCAGAAGAAAAGTGGTTTTGGAAATCCCATCCATTGGTATGCTGCATTTGCAGCTCACCCTGTACAGCCCTTTAAATGCAGTCCTCACTTACAACCCCAATTACATTTGTCATGAATTATTCATATTTTCAGCCTTGCTATTAAACCAGCGACACTGGGTTTGTCTTGGGGTCAGTGTTGTTTTCAAAGACTGAGTACTGTATATCAGCCTCCCTAATTATTTCTTGAACAAATCAGCAGCACAAGCAAGGGCAGTGTTTATAGTCTGTTGTGTCAGTGGAGCTTTTATCAAAACAATCTTGTGTTTTGAAATCTTTCCTCCTCATCCACCTGTCTTGCCTTTTTCTAAGAAAATGCTAACAATCAAATACCTAAGAATAGGCAACTTAAGCACTCTCCTTTACACATGAAATAAAAGAGCATGCTGAATGAAGAGCTGGTACTATAATATGTCATGCTTTACATACACCAAAATATAATGTAAAATGGCTGAATATCTCCAGCTCAGGTAATTCAGAACAACAACTGTATTAATCATCTGATTTTTTTTTTTTTACAAAAGGTTTTAATGGTGATATATTTATGTCCATTATTGGATCTGCAGAGATGACGTATGAAGGCAGGTTTACAAACCCGATCATGGCTGTAAATGCTGCGCTCATCACTGGCATTTGAAGCCAATGATTACATCTAGAATACTGCTGAATTACTTTACACATTTCCCTGTTAATTCCAGTTAGAGCATTTGAAAAAAAGAAAAAGCAGGATGAAGACTGCATTATTTACAGACAGATTAGGGTCAGGTAGCACTTTGCAAAAAGACATTTATGACAACACAATATGAGAATCCCAAATGGTCATCTGCTGCACCTAATGATAGAAATCAACTAGCACTTTTCAAGGTTTGCACACGAGTCCAAAACTAATCCAAACATAAAATCAAACTGCTTTTCTGAAACCATTGGTCTTTTTATTCATTGATAAAAATATACACAAGGGGAAAAAAGGCTTAATTTCTTCCTGATTATTCTGTCAACTTAAGCATTCATTTCCATTCTGAACATATCTGAAAAGAGAGTTGTTGTACCAATTTCAGTCCAGTGAAAAAAGCATATAGATTTACAAATTTTCATGTATGGTGTGTATATATAAAACAGCTTAGGTTGGATGGTAAATTTCCTGCAGTCCAAACATGGCTATAAGAGATCACCTTAATATGGTCTATTATTAGGCTTACAGCATGATCATGACACTGGAATGTGGATTAGTTACCTTCACTAATCCACACCTTGGTAGCTGATGCTTTAGGGTCCTGCTGTCACCTTGAACCCTGGGTCATTGTGCTCCAATCCAATTTGTTATTCATCTTCAGGATAGATGTGCAAGGGCTCTAAAAGTAAATGACTGGAGTTTCAACAATAGTGAAGACCAGAATGATCTGGACCCAGGACTAGCAGTCTCTTTTCCACTAGCACACCTAAAAGGCAAAGCAGAGGGAGAAAACTGGATGCAAATTGACCTGTCATTTTAAAACTAGTCTTCTGTTCGTTTACATTTTGTCCTTTTTAGCAAAGCACTCAAGGATGTTTCCATCCACCTCAGCCTGTGTGTGTGTGTTCTTCTCTCCTGTTCGATATAAATGGCTTTTCTTCTCCATTGATTTGACATATTAATTACAGTTCCTAATTGTCATCTTTTTTTGTGTCATTAATTTTGCATCCTTGGTTTAAATGGCACAAGTACAAAGTAATTAGCTTCAGCAAATCTGGCCATAAGTTTAAAAAAATCCTTTTGAATGGTAATCTTTAGGAGTCCGAGTTAGTTTGGCCTGTAACCAGCTGCCCTCCAACAGTTTGTTCCAGTGTGGGCCTCTCTGGTTCCCAGTCTTCCAAATCGGCATAGTTTAGTTCAGGCACCACTGCAGACAGGCCCAAAGAGCTGACTGACCCAGCTGAGGACCCATGCCCTTCATAAGCATATGTTTGAAGTGAGTCATAAGGTGGGCCTCGTGTGTCAGAGTTTGCTTCATCCACCTTCTGCTGGATGATCTGTTGAATTATGTCATGACCATCGAGCAGAAGCGAAGGTGCTGACCGGCTGATCTCTGGTAGAATGCAGTCAATGACAAACCAGGCAGGTTCCGACTCTGGGCTGTAGCTCCTGTAATGTACCTCTCGAGCTTTCCGTCTCCTTACCACCACAATCCCATCTTCATCATCCACAACCTCGTCCTCTCCATTTGGGATTGGTCCATGGCCAAGGTAGGTGTGGAACTTTCTATGAGGCTCAGAAGCTTTGGGATTCCGCAGTGCAGCAATGTCAAAGGCCTCAGTGTCCTCCTCCCCGCCTCCCTCATCATCATAAGTCACCACATTTTCTCTGATGTCCTCTTCAGAAAGAATCAAGGATTCTTTGCTTGCTTTCTTATTTCGTAACTGTGTAAACAGCATCACTATGGCTGCAAGAAAAGCAGAAGGAGAGGTGAAAAGAAAGCCTGGGACATCCAAAACACTTTTTCAATGACATGAATAAAATGACTGGATGATTGCAGATTGGATTCTTGTGGAAAACACAAGAGCTTTTGAGAGATATTTACTAAAGATTTGTGGCTCAATTTTTGGCACTAAACAGTGATATTGCATGTTTATATTTACCAAGGAGTCATAGTGGAGTTTTGTAGTGGAGAAACAAAAGTAATGTGGCACCACAGGAATTTGCAAATGTGGTTTCAGGCAATATGTATTTTAAGGCATTGCTGTTCAGGGAAGCAAAAATCAAGGAGGAGAGAAAATGTAAGCAAATACCCTCAGCACATGATTTACCACGACTATGACAGAGGGAACTGTGATTGAAAGTAAACGTCAGGAGAAAGCTGGTGTAAAATTAGCAGCCCTGCTGTCAGCGTGGCAGCTGTTCATCACCTCAGAGTTAAGAACATATTTGAGAAGGGGGTGGATGTTTGTAAATCACTCACGAGTGGAGATGAGGTTTTCAGGTCAAACCATGCTTCAGTTATTGAATGAAACAAAAGATGATGGGACTGAAGTTCTGAAATCTGTTTGTTGGTTCCTTCAACCATATTAAAGTTCACTTGCTGTGAACATAGACTTTCTTCTACACTCCTTCTCAGTACACACATGTGCAATCATATGAGATCCAAAGTGGAGGTGTAATCATATTAACACAGCTGCAGCTGTGCTCATTTCCATCACCAGTGCTGATAAATTTGCTGCTAAATTGAAAAATTGCAGTGCCACAAAATTTTGTGGATCTCATGGTGATTTGTTTAGCAAATCTTCCCCTTTCTGTGCAGGAAACTATGAAGTAAAAATACAGCATTTTTATAATGCCTGGTAAAACCTACTCTATTCATTGTATCCTTTTTGGAGATATTTTAATAAATATGTTCTTATCTACTCAGTATTCTGTCTATACCAGTCTGTGTGAGAGAAAATGAATCTGCTTCCATGTTTTGTAAATAAAAAATAAAGTAGTACCTATTGAAAAAAACGAACTAATTCATACAAGAAGAACAGTTCTAAACACATAAAACAACTGTGTCTGTGTGTGTTGGAGGGAGTCAAATAAATTGTCTTTAGGCAACAGTGTTTACTGTAATGCACACCAAATATAAATTTGTACTCCTATCTTGGACTTTTTACTGATTTTTTTTTTTCTTTTTACTTTGTTTTGTTTGCTTGTTTCACCTTGTTGGGCATTCAACAGTTATTTAGTTTCCTGTCTAAACAGCTGTTGAGACAGGAAACCCCTTTTGTGAAATTTTTTAAGAACTCATAAGACATCTGAGACAGGACAAAAGGCCCCAAAATAGGGCCCGGTATTATGGTCCTTGTGTATTTTAAAGATATCTAACATTGTATTTATCCAAAGTTAAGAATTCTCTAAATCCATCTTTACAAACAGATTCCCCTCTGTCCTCAAGCAGGTTGTTTCAGAAGTTACATGGAATTTACATTATTCATGAGCATCTACTCTGATTAGCTGGAGGTGATGACATCTCCACCCCAGCCAGTTAGATCAGGACCTAATGGAGCTTTTTGTCACTGTTGCTCTTTACCTTGTGTATTGACTGCAACTGGAAATACACAACAGTATATAGAGATAAAGTATATGAACCAGAGTCAGATCCTGAATGAGAAGGAGAGGAACCTGCTGTTGCAGACTGGATGTCTCAGAACAGTAGGGTCATATTTAAATTTTCTAACAAATAAAGTATCCCTCCGCCACAGCTCAACAAGAAGCTACTATTAAGGGACACAACGGAGGGAAATCTGTCTTAAATAGCCTGTAACATTGAAAGATACCAACTCACATTAGCTTAGTGGAACAGCTGAATCTTTATTTGATCCTCAGATGGACCTTGAAGAGTGTATTTTTACATAAAACAAAGGATGTGTATTTTTTTGACTGTGTAGTTGCACTCAAGGTGGAAATTTTCAGGGTCAGTATGAAGACCAAGAAAGGTTACAGGGACTATAATATAACCCATTCTCACAGACCTATGGGCACGCCAGTATTGTTTAAAGACCAACTTGAAAAGAACATGTCCTCTAATGATCATAAGTCAAGATCAAGTTGAATCTGGAGTCAACTGGCGAGGAGTTGTGAGTCAAGTTGAAAATCTACTTCAGTGCCCATCTCTGCCAGATGGGAGCACTAGCTTGTTACTATCTATTTGACATCAGGTCTCATTTAGTCTGATTTAGTACATAAAATTGTGCATGTAGCATAAGATGAAATGTCTGAAACTTGCAGATAGACTGGGGAAATACAACTAATATGGACAAAATTTGCACCCAATTACTTACCTAATAATATGACAATACATAGCAGTATGGCCACAAAGGCTCCAGTGCTGAGGCCCGTTGAGGACAGGAAGGCCTGGGCCTGACAGACATTGTTGCTGTTTCGCCCCCTGGTGTTCCTCTGACACACACACACCCTGAGGAATAGTGTAGTGGTGCTACTGAGAGGAGGCTCCCCGCCATCAGTCACCACAACCACCAGGCTGAATAACTCCTGATCTCTGTCCACACTGAAGCCTTCACGGCGGTGAGATACTATACTGGCAGTGTTATCTAGGGACAGCGAAAATAGGGCAAAGGAGTGGGAAGGGGTAGGAAAGAGATTGATGAAGGAAGAATGGTAAAAAAATGGTAGAGGAGAGGTTGAATGAATGATATGACAAAGATGAGAGAAAGGTGGAGGACAAAAAACAACACTTTGAGTAAGTACAGTAATTGATTTAATTTAATTTATTTAGTATTTTAATCACCTTTATTTGGCCTTTATTTAAGTATGTTGTGTAACATACTTGGCCAAATAAAGGTGATTAAAATATTTACCATTACAGAGAAAGTTACATAAAAAAAAAAAAAAGAAAAGCTAATTGAACAAACTGGCTCAGTCTAGGTATGGGCACCCGAAGGAGCATCATTGTTCATGATCATGGCTCAGTCTGCCTTAGTATGTAGAGCAGTGTAGGAGATTAGGTGTATTGTATGTTTAAAAGAGAAACAGGTGGATAAATAACTCCCCTGCAAAATAAAATAAAAAAGCATAAAGCAACATTTCACTCTCATAGAATTAGGAATTGATGTAACAGAGCTGTCCTGGAAATCCAGAGGAGGTGGAATCTGTCTCAACATAAATGAAGGTTGGTGCACAGATGTCACAGTGCTACAGAGGACATGTAACACAAACTTAGACTCTCTTTATCAAGTGCAAACCCTTCTATTCACCCCTAGAATTTTCGAGCTTCATTCTGATTGGTGTCTATTTAAAACCGAATGCCCACACCAGCACGCTACAGCTCCTGGCCGATCTGATAATCAGTGTAGAACTGGAACATCACAACTCCCCACTCATTGTTTTAGGGAACTTTAACAGAGCAAATCTCACCCATGAACTGCCCAAATACAGGCAGGACTTCACCTGCCCCACCAGGAACAAAATCACACTGGACCACTGCCAGTAGTCAAAACAGTGAAGAGCTGGACTGAGGAGGCTACGTCAAAGCTACAGGGCTGCTTCGAATGCACAGACTGGAGTGTATTTGAGACTGCAGCTACAGACCTGGATGAACTCATTGACACTGCGACATTTTACATCAGCTTTTGTGAGGATATGTATGTGCCCAACCAGTCCTTCTGCACATACAACAACAACAAGCCCTGGTTCACAGTAAGACTCAAGCAGCTTTGTTGTGCCAAAGAGGAAGTCTACAGAAGTGGGGACAGGACTCTGCACAGCCAGGCCAGGAAAACACTGACAAGGGAGATTAAATCAGCAAAAAAGAGCTACTCTCAAAAGCTGAGAGACCAGGTGTCGGCCAACGACCCATCGTCTGTATGGAGCAGCTTCAAAAGCATCACTGGCTACAAGAAACCATCCCTCCTTGCTGAGGGGAGCCATCAATTGGTAGACAACCTGAATGCATTCTACTGCAGATTCGACAATCAACACTCCCACCTCACCCTCCCCATCTCAGATCCAGCAGCTGCTTCCCCGACAATCACCACCCTTCCTCCCTGCCCCTACCTCTAACAATCTGTGAAAAGGATGTACGTGGCCTCTTTAAAAAACAAAAGATCAGAAAGGCACCAGGCCCAGATGGCATGACCCCCTCCTGCCTGAAAGTGTGTGCTGATCAGCTGGCCCCCATCTTCACACTTATCTCCAACATGTCACTGGAGCTGTGTGACGTCATCCCCTGCTGCTTTAAACGCTCTACCATCATCCCAGTCCCAAAGGAAAACCTCCATCAGTGGACTGAACAACTACAGACCTGTCGCCCTGACATCTGTAGTTATGAAGTCCTTTGAGAGACTGGTGTCGGCCCACCAGAAGGACACTGTAGATCCCCTGCTGGACCCCCTGCAGTTTGCCTACCGGGCAAACAGGTCAGTGGACGATGCAGTGAACATGGCACTGCATTACATCCTGCAACACCTTGCCTCCCCAGGGACCTATGCACGGGGCCCTCTTTGTGGACTTCAGCTTGGCGTTCAACACCATCATCCTGGACATCCTCCACTCCAAACTGACCCAGCTCCCTGTACCTGCCCCCACATGTCAGTGAATTACTAGCTTTCTGACAGATAGGAAGCAGCAGGTGAGGCTGGGGAAAACCACATCCAGCACCTGGACAATAGGCACCAGTGCCCCCCAGGGATGTTTGCTCTCCCCTCTGCTATTTTCACTCTACACCAACGACTGCATCTTGAAGGACCCCTCTGTCAAGCTCCTAAAGTTTGCAGATGACACAACGGTCATTGGTCTCATCCGAGATGGTGACAAGCTGGTCCTGTGGTGTAGTCACAACAACCTGGAGCTGAACCTGCTCAAAACAGTGGAGATGACAGTGGACTTCAGAAAGAGCCCCCCACCCAACCCTCACCTGTGGACTGACACCTATTGTTCTGGTGGGCATGTTTGGGCAGAGATCTCAAAACAGAGTTGTAAATGGATGACAAGTTGTCTTAGTCCACCACCCCTATTTAGTGAGGGGTGTTCTGTTTGGACAAAAATAGCAACTTTAAGCCAGTGAACACCCTGCAGCAAAGACTGGTCCACCCGAAGGACAAAACGCCCAGATACAAGCAGGGTGATGTGGTGTATGCAATTCAGTATAGTCAGGAGTGTAGCGACTTGTACATTGGTGAAACTAAGCAGCCGCTTCACAAACGCATGGCCCAACACAGGAGGGTCAACTCCAGTGGACCACAGTCAGAAGTCCACCTCCACCTGAAGGACAAAGGACATTCTTTTGAGGACAGTGAAGTCCAGAGAACATCGTTGGTTTGAGAGAGGAGTTAAGGAAGCTATTTTTGTAAAAATAGAACACCCCTCACTAAATGGGGGTGGTGGACTAAGACACAACTTGTTATCCATCTACAACTCTGTTTTTAGATCTCTGTCCAAACATGCCCATCAGGAGAATAGCCGTCAGTCGACAGGGGAGGATTCAAAGACAGGTAGCGATACTCACCGATACTGGGCTATAACAACTTGGTCGTTAAGGGACATTGTTGGCCTTCAAAGGACTGAAACACCATCAAGGGGGATAAATATGTCTGGCCCAACACCAGTCAGTCAGAAGTGATGAAGCCTCTTGGATGAGAGGTGAAACGTCTTTGACCTAGAAATCTAGTCCAGTTGATTTTTTCTAAGTTTTTTCAGCTTACTATGACCTGGATGACCGGGAATCTGCACAGACATGTACACCTCATGGGTCAAAAGGAGAGTGGAGAAGATTTCTACAGACCCCTCACACCTGGGACACAATCTGTTTGAACTCCCCTCTGGACAGCGTTGCAGGTCACTGTCCACCAAGACAACCAGGCACAAGGACAGTTTCTTCCCCCGAACTGTCACTCTGATGAACACTTAACCCACGACACTATGACTGGACAATAACCCTCAGTGCAATACCTTCCCCCAGTGAAATACTGGTAAATATATATTGTACCGATAATACAGATCAGTACAGGTCTCTATTTTTAAGTACTTAATTTTTATTTTATTTTATCTTATTTCTAAACATTCCTTTGTTTGTTTGCATTGTTTACACTTTTTTATTTTGCATTGTTTATTGCTTGTTTAAACTGTTTATTTTGTTATACTACACAGCCTTATGTTGGTATATTGTTTACTTTCCCCTTGCTGCTGCTTTGCATGGGGATATGTACATGCATATTGAGAGCCGCTGTACCAGAGTCAAATTCCTCGTGTTCAACACACCTGCCCGATAAAGCTGATTCTGATTGTGAAATACACTCTTGGCTGAATTCTTAGCAAGTATCAACAACTAAGATAACCAGCATTACCTTACTATAAATAGCAGGGTAAATGGAAGAGGATGAGCTAGAGCATAGATCGGGCCACATATTTCTGTCCGAATCCAACCCATGCCTGAAAATGTACCATTTGAACCCAACCTGGACTTGACAAGCTTGCAGTATATAATGTCCAAACCCAAACCAAGCCTGCACCCAAATTTCAAAATTTCTGCCTGAACCAGGTACCAACAGGTCCCATTGGGCTTGGTTCAGTTATCCACACTCTAGAAAAAGCTAATGGGAATGGATTTCTTTAAGGTAGTTAGAACAGATGGTCTCATGGCTTTCTGGGGTGAGAGACTATACAGCATGGATGGGGCAATGTTGCACTGCATTACTTTTACTACTAATGAAAGCAGAGAGTTTAGAAGGCTCATTTTTAACCAAATAAATAATTTAAAGGAACAAAAGGACCCTCACTCACAGTCTACTAACAGTATTTTTTTCTGAAAGTTAGGCCTTTGTTGTGTAGTCAGAAAAAGTGACACTTAGAGTTATCTAAAATCTGTTTAGGGAACTGTAAAAATATTGGTTATACTTGATCAGAAACATGTTAGCACGCTTCAGTCAGGGACGTTATCAGTGCAAACACAGACATGTCTGTGCCATGGATATTCACACTGTTTAAATCAGAATCTAAACCATGAGAAAAACGAAACATATTTCTTAATGCTAGAGGTAATTACCATTTCAATATTATTCCAAGGTACATAGATATATTACAGTCAGATTAGTTTCTCAAAGTAATTAGTACACATTTTATTTACTATATTTGCTTTTAAAAGAAAACAGCTAATTAGTAAACATAAAATCCTGATGAAACACATACAGTGACAAATTAATGGAAAAATCTGAATGAATGAGTGGTCTCGTCCAGGATGACAGTGCCCCAATCCATAGGAGTGGAGGGGTCACTGAATTGTTTGATGACAAAAATGATGTGAATCATATGTTGTGGCCTTCACAGTCACCAGGTCTCAGCCCAGTTGAACACCTATGGAAGATGTTGGAGTGATGTGCTAGACAGCATTTCCACCCAACATCTAAGAGACTTTGTTGATTCTTTCTTTAGTTCTGTAAGTTGATTCTGATGTGTGAGTATGAGCTGTTTCACAGATGACAGGTACCACTGGCATGCCAGCTGATGGAGTTAGTCAGTCAGGGATGATGTTATAAACCTGGAAAAAATAAAAAAAGTAGAGTAGAGGAGAGTAGGTACTTTATTGATCCCACAGTGG